ATGCTGGGATTACAGATGTACACCACATGCATAACATAAGCACTATTTTTAAATTCACACCCCTTAATACCACCACCACTGGGGACTAAACACAGGAATGTTGCCTTAAACTATATTCTCAATCCTTTATTTATGCATTTCTTAAGAGAGTCTTACTAAATTGTCCAGGCCAGGCTTGAATTTGTGATCCTCCTGCCTCACTATCCTGGGATTACAAGCATATCCTACCATACTTGGCTTCAATTTGGCATCTTTAGCCAGTAGGTATTATCTTTACAAGATCCCTGTGAATACTTCCTTCCTGAGAAGTATTTATTCCTTGAGCTCAAGATTCCTGATATACTATAATTTAATGTGTTATTCAGCTTTTTGTTGCTGTGACAAAACACCTGACATAAACAGAAGAGAGTAAGATTCACTTGGGCTCTAAGTTTCCGAGGTTTCAGTCCATGGGGGGGTTAGCTGCACTGCTTCTAGCCTGTGATGAGACAGAAGCAAAGGGCACAGACAGAAACATGCCAGAAAGACACAGCAAAGGGAAGCCACTTGCCTCAGGGGAACCAGAAAACAGAAAGGGAAAGAGCCCGGACAAGATATACTCTTCCAGGGGCCAGGGAGATGGCTCGGTGGAAAAAGCGCTTCCCTGGCAAGCGCCAGGGCCTGAGTTCAATCCCTGGTTCCCCCCACCCCCCCAAAAAAAGATATACTCTTCACGTTAGGACCCCAGTGACCTACTTTTTCCTGCTAGGGGCCATTTCCTAACATCCTGCTCATTAAAGGCCCTCCTGATTTGGTCACCAAAGTACCACTTATCTTATTGCTGCACTGGGGGTCAAGCCTACATCAAACAGCCCTGCTTGGCTCACATCAATCTGAACTGTATCATCCTGTCCCTGGACCCCAAAGGTTTTGTCTAGGAAAGTTTTATGAGGGATGGGAAAATTTTAATTCCCATTGTGGGGTATTAACAGGATAGAAAACTACTCCCATTACAGTGTTGAGAAGTGGGGATTGTGAGCTGTCAGAGCTCCAATGGTTACCTCCTGGAGGCTCTGTGTGGAGGAAGAGACAAGACAGGCTCAGCTACACACACACACCTCCTGCCTCTTGCGATTAGCCTCCTTGTGATGCTGCAGGGCTCTGCCAGAAGGCCACTGCTCCTTCAGCACCTGTGCCATGGATGTGGTGCACACCTGTGATCCCAGCATGATGGGACCGTAAGCTAGGAAGAGCTTCTTCACAGTAATCCCATTAAGGTGATGACAGACAGATTAATGTCATGGGTAGTTTTGGCTTTTTGTCCTCATTCCTTGCTGTCTCCCATGCTGTTTCCAGATTTCTCTCTGCACACTTTGCTGCTGTATCTTGACAAGCTGAGGAAATCAAGCACTTTCTACTCACAGCCAGGTGGAAGAAGCCAAATCTGTCAAAATTTTAAAAAATATATACATAGTGTGAAGCTTCAAGTTTGATGTGGCACGTACCTTTATACCTCAGTCATCACAGATACATTTTAGGGTTTAGTCAAGATGACAAAGTAGCAGTACTACTTTATAATCCAAGGATCATATGAATAGAAACAAAGCAAAATGAAAAACTTCTCAGCAAATGTCTTTGGTTCCTTCTTGTTGCTGTTCACACAGGGTCTTGTTATATAACCAGGCTGGCCTTGGCCTGGTCACCCTCCTTCCTCAGCCTCCTGAGAGGTGAGATTACATGCACGGACTAGACCTTAGAACTGTTAGGTACAGGTTTCAGTTTTTAGGTTAATACTTTTAAAAAAAATTTTTTTTTTTAATTCATTCGTGTGTGTGTGTGTGTGTGTGTGTGTGTGTGGCCAGCTCAGCCCACCAGGGGGCGGGGCTGGCTGACATGTGGTGCTGGGGGATTGAACCGCGGTCCCTGTGCTTTGCTAAGCTTGTTGTAAGTAGGCACTTTAGACCACTGAGCCATCTCACCAGCCCTAGGTTAATACTTTTTATGTGAAGATAAAGATACATGCAGTTAAAAACAAAGCAACACTAAGGTAAAAACTAACTAGATTAACCTCAGTCATTTCATGTTATCCTTTATACAGCTGTAGTATTCAGAAATATAGTTAGAAGTGAAATAACAGCTGTGTGGTAGTGCAAACCTGTAACCCCACCACTCAGGAGGCTGAGGCAGGAGGGTTATGGTGAGTTCAAGGCAGGCTGAACTATAAAGTAAGACCCTTTCTCACACACAAACAAGCCAACAAACAAAAACAAAAAGTGAAAACATACTTTTGGCTACTGTAGGAGGTACACATAAACATTGTGCCTGTTCATTTGCCTTTAGGAAACTGATGAAAGAAAGTTAAGAAGATCAGGGAATGTACAGTTGCTAACAAATCTAGCTATACATCAAAGTTTATTTTGCTCCTAATTTGGACAAGACAATTTACATATATTACCACATAACCTGAAATTCTCCCTTATCTTTTGTAGCTACTCATTATGCAAAAGATTGGCATCTGAAATAAGCAAGTACTGAATACATGGCAAATTAATTGGTGAATGATGGAATGAAGATACAACATGGTTCTTTAGAAAGATTTTAATATTTTTTTGACACAGGCATATAAACAACCTTTGCTCACTAGACAGAGCAATTTAAGACACACCAGAAATGGATTACAGTTCATGTTACAGTATTCATAGATATGTCAGGGCTCATGTTTCCTCAGTTATCTTTGTGAATATTTACTAAAATATCACAGCATCCTGGTTAAACTGGCAAGTTTATTTCTCATTTTAAAGAGTGGCATGGATTTAGATTAGTAAAAAACCAAGGCACAGACTATTGTTGAAATGTAATATAATAAAAAAAATCAGCAATCAGGAATGAAGCACTCTACCTAAATGTTCTTTAGTCAAACGACATTTAGCTTCCTAACGTCTCAACTACTGGTGATAGAATAGTGTATAACATGCCTTTTTCTTGGTACCAGGAATTGAACTCAGGACCTTGCGTTTGCCAGGCAGGCACTTGTGCTGCTGAGCTATATCCCTAGCCCCAAAACATGCCTTCTTAAATTTTCTTTTATTATTTATTTTTTGCCTTTTTAAATTTTAAAATAGACCATGCAGATTATAATAATGTTCTTTCATCTTTTCTAGGAACACAATATTCTAAAGGTTTACCAAGGTGGGTGTTTGACCTACTGTAGATAAACTAACATGCCTATTATTTTTAAAATTTTCAACTCATTTATTTATTTTATCATATTTAACAGCTATTATTCCTTGCTTTGGCTAAATGTGTTTTCTGTTACTTTCTTACCTCTTACAATATAAAAGTGAGGGAAGAACAATGTCACTACATAAGCTTCTGATGAATTAACAGTTCCCACTCTTTTTATTGGCAAAGGTTAGAGAAAGCTAATCCACTGAGAAAGGCAGGATCTGCAGAAGGAAGAACAAACTGGAAATCTGCATTTCTAGACAGCTGTCAGAATTCAACTGTCCTTGGGTCTGCAGGACTCAATCTGCTCTAGGATGGGAAATCAGAACACTAAGGTACAACTATTAGATCAGTAGGCAGCTAATCTTACAGTGAAACACAGGAACTCTGGAGCACAAGTATTTGAAATTTGATGTGTTTATAAATTTACTGTACATAGGAGTTTTAATTTGTATATTTTTCTCTATTTTTATTTCTCAGTTGAGGTATGT